TTGACTCCACTCACTGGGCATGGCCAACTGGGTAGCCAACTAGGATGGTCACTGGGATGGCCAACTGGGTGGGCGTGGCCAGCTTGATGCCACTCCCCAAACTGCTGGCATGTTTCCTCTTTGCCTTGGGTAGACTGGGCCAAAGCGACGTGAGCCGGCCTCTTACATTTTCCAAGACAGCCCCATGAGCCGGACCTGACCACATTGCTGGCCGGATGCGGCCCGTGGGCCTTGTGTTTGACACCCCTGTTCTATGAAATGTCGAGACTGCTTTCCTCACCCAGATTGGACTTTTATTAAACTTGACTCCATTTGTATTCCGCTTTTCTTTCCATCATCAACCCCGGGAGGGTGTTCCCATCTCTACAAACAGCCCACGACAGATTAAAAGCAGGATGCACTTACCTGCATCCAAAACGGACCACATGGGGACTCGTGGGAGGATCCAGCCAGGAGTGGGATTTGGAGTGGGTGGGGTCTTAAGGCTTTTTTGGGTGGGGTAGGGCTTATATTGGGCACATGTAAACATCAAGTTAGGACTTACATTCGGGGCAAGTTGTATTTTGGGGGGGAACAAGTTAGTTCATCCTGTAACAATTACTGGGCTGGACACATAGTTTCCTCAACAGCCTTTATTGTCCTCCCTCAATGGCTTTTGGTGCACACAGCCAAGACAGTTATCCAAGCCAGAAATCCTGGTTTAATAGACTGGGCATCATCTGTCTTGGGGTTGCTGGTTGGGTAAGCTGAAAAGCTGCCGAATGGCTGCCTCCAGCAACCTAGAATGGCCCTTTTGCCTTAGATCCGCCGCATCTCCGAACGCAGCAATTGCACAGATGTTCAAGCACATCTGGAGGAAGCAAGCGAAGGAATGAAACCGTCCCCGCACGGGCAACATAATAATTGAATATTCATCCGCGCTGCTACCTACGGCAAAGCCAGGGAATGCAGACAACGGGGGTGTTTTTAGAAGCGTTTTATTATTAGAAATACGCCTTGGATTCGCCTTGTCCCAAACTTGCCAACACAGATTCGTAACGAAGTGCCCGCACTCTCAACCCGTTAAACTAACCTCCCCAACTCCAAGTACATTCATAGCCCTCTTTGCCCGGTGACCAGGAGAGGGGTGAGTGGCTGGGTGGGGTGAAAAATGTTAAATGCCACCACCAAAGGCTCTCGCTGCCGAGAAGGATAATCAGGATCAAGACAGCCGCTCAGGACTTGGGGGATCCAAAACACATTTTTCCCAATTGGAGAAAGGAAAAAAAAAAATCCACCCAGCCTCGAGCATGCAAAGCTCGCCTCCAGATTGCCATGAGGGGCTCGCACCCAAGTGCAGCTTCTTCGTCCCTTCTTCCCTTAACGTCTGAATGGCACCTTTCCTGGAATCGGGCACGGTCGCCAGCTTGTTGGGAAGTTGACACGGTCCATATTCTTAAGCCGGAAACCGTCAAAAAGCACTTTTCAAGCCTACGAGGGATTTGAACCAGCTCTGTTCTTTATCGCAAGAAGGGCTCTGCTCCCTGGGTTTTGTTTTTTTTTTTCCTGCAGAGGCCTGCTCTTATTTTAAATTTGATTTTGAGATTTTAATACTCGCGTGTCGGGAAGTTTACAGGCGATAAAGAATCCAATACAAGCGTAGCCCTAGGAAGGAGGAGGCAATGAATTGGCCCCTCCAGATTGGGTCATTTTTGCTTTTGGGGTAAGGAAAAAAAGGAAAATGGATCCTAACAAACCACTCGCTCCCTTAAAGCCACAGGAAAGTTTCTCACAGGCTCATCCTTAACAAGCCTTAACTACGTTTGTAGGTTCTTTTAGATCCTCCTAAAGTTGGTGTTTGGGAAAACTCTTCTCTGCATCTCTTGGATGGCGGAGTTTTTTTTAATGCTTTTTCCCTCCCCCGGAAAGCAGCTTTCTTTTCACTCCGGTCTTTTCCAGGTCTACTTCATAGGAAAGAGGTTTTTAGTATGAATCCCCTGCTTAGCTTACCCGAGAAGGGAGGGAGGTGCAGAGAAAAACACGTTAGTTTTGGACGGATCTATTTTCTGCTGTCAGGCAAGGAAGACGTGTCATCGCGACTACAAAATTGGTTTTCGGGTTAATAGGGCGAGGAAAAGGGTTTTGGAAGAGCCCGAAGCCCACCGCCCGCACCCATCTTTGAGGAAGATTAGAAAACAAGAGACTCCCCATTAGTGCATTTTCCGCTTTTTAGGTCCAAGGCGTCGCTGACGTTGCTTGTAGAGATGACGGAAAAGGATAAATGGCGCTGAAAGAAAAGAAAAAACAGGAAGGATGAGTTTTTCCCATTCTTGAGATCAGATACACTAATAGGAATCAAGGAACTATCGTGGCAGGGATTCTCAACCTTGGGGACTTTAAGATGGGCGGACTTCAACCCCCAGACTCCCTCAGTTGCATGGAGAACCATCCTGGCAGGGATTCTCAACCTTGGG